CCTCGGGGGCGCCGGGGGGAGCCGCGGGCCCTGTTGGAGAGAGACAGGGGTGAGGCGGGGGCGGCTGGCGGGGGCGCGGCGGGGAGAGCGGAGCTCGGAGCGCAGCGGAGATGAGGTTCATGTTAAAATCGGGCGCGGCTCTCGGGGGCGATGGGTTACCATGTGCCAGGGACTCGGGGCTGTTGCCTTGCGAGTCCAGGGGGGAGGGCGGCAGCGAGGGGGGAGCCCCCCCGGGGCCCGGCGGGCTCTCCAGGCAGGGTCCGTCCAGGATGCAGGCGTGGGGGGACGAGTGTCCTGCGGGGAGGGCGACACGGAGCCGGCGTCACCCCGCGGGGCGAGCCGGCATCACACCCGCGCTGGCACAGCCCCGCTGTCACACCCGCATTGTCACAGCCCCACTGGCACAGCCCACTGTCACACGTGCATTGTCACAGCCCCACTGTCACCCCGCCATTGTCACAGCCCCGCTGTCACACCTGCATTGCCACACCTGCATTGTCACAGCCCCGCCATTGTCACAGCCCCTCTGGCACACCTACATAGTCACACCCACATTGTCACAGCCCCACTGTCACATGCCCACTGTCACACCCGCGCTGGCACAGCCCCGCTGTCACACCTGCATTGCCACACCCACATTGGCACAGCCCAAATATCACACCTACATTGTCACATCCACGTTGTCACAGCCCCACTGTCACAGCCCCAATGTCACAGCCCCACTGTCACCCTGCCACTCTCACAGCCCCACTGGCACAGTCCCACTGTCACACCCGCGTTGGCACAGCCCCCCTGTCACACCCGCGCTGGCAACAGCCCCACTGTCACACCTGCATAGTCACACCTGCATTGTCACAGCCCGACTGTCACAGCCCCGCTGTCACACCCCATTGTCACAGCCCGCTGTCACACCTGCGCTGGCACAGCCCCACTGGCACAGTCCCACTGGCACACCCGTGTTGGCACAGCCCTCCTGTCACAGCCCCACTGGCACAGCCCACTGTCACACGTGCACTGTCACAGCCCCACTGTCACCCCGCCATTGTCACAGACCCGCTGGCACAACCCTATTTTCACAGCCCCACTGTCACAACCCGCCATTGTCACAGCCCCAGTGCCACCCTGCCACTGTCACAGCCCCGCTGTCACACCTGCATTGTCACAGCCCCACTGGCACAGTCCCACTGTCACACCCGCGTTGGCACAGCCCCCCTGTCACACCCGCGCTGGCAACAGCCCCACTGTCACACCTGCATAGTCACACCTGCATTGTCACAGCCCGACTGTCACAGCCCCGCTGTCACACCCCATTGTCACAGCCCGCTGTCACACCTGCGCTGGCACAGCCCCACTGGCACAGTCCCACTGGCACACCCGTGTTGGCACAGCCCTCCTGTCACAGCCCCACTGGCACAGCCCACTGTCACACGTGCATTGTCACAGCCCCACTGTCACCCCGCCATTGTCACAGCCCCGCTGGCACACCTGCATTGTCACACCTGTATTGTCACAGCCTGCTGTCACAGCCCCAACTGTCACATGCCTACTGTGACAGCCCGACTGTCACCCCACCACTGTCACAGCCCCGCTGGCACATGCCCGGTGTCACAGCCCCACTGTCACCCCGCCGCTGTCACAGCCCCGCTGGCACAGCCCCATTGTCACAGCCCCAGTGTCACCCCGCCGCTGTCACAGCCCGCGCTCACCGGTGTGTGAGGAAGAGGAGGAGGAGGAGGAGTGCAGCAGCGCGTCCTGCCAGCTGGGGCGCGGCGCGGGCGGGGCGAAGCCGCCGTTGTTGTCCAGGGAATCCTGCGGGGACAGCAGAGAGGGGGGCTCAGTGCAGCCCCCCGCCCCCGGGAGCGCAGGGGGACTGCGGGGCACCCGAGTGGGGAGAGGGGAAAGGGGGGTGTGGGAATGGGGGTGTGGGAATGGGAATGGGGTGTGGGAATGGGAATGGGGGTGTTGGGGAATGGGAATGGGGGAGATGGGATGAAGGGGACGGGGACAGGCTGGAGGGGACAGGGATGAGGACGTGTTGTGGGAGGACACGTGAAGGGTGGTGGAGGGGTTAAAGACAGGGGATCAGGGGATGGGGGGACAGGGATGGGATCTGGGGGGACAGGGGTGGCTGCAGGGGACACAAGGGTGGCTGCAGGGGGTCACAGGGACACAGGGCCCGAGGACCAGGATGTCGCCTCCTCCCGGGACCCCGCCATGGGGCGGATCCCGGGGCCCCCCCGCCCCTCCAAGGGATGACGGAGCCACGCGGGGACCCGGCCTGGCCGGGCAGGACCGGGCAGGACCCCCGGGCTCTGTCCCCTCGCGGTGACCGCCACCCCCCGGAGCGCCCCCAGCCCGGCAGAGCGCGGTGCCCTCCCGGGAAAAGGGGGGGGCCCCGAAATTCCCGAGGGCCCGCGGTTCCCTGGCAACGCCGGCGGCTGCAGCCGCTCCGCACGCGGCTGCCCACGCACTGCGGCGGCGCGTGCGCCGCGACACGGGGACACCCCTGCGGCGACACGGCTGGGGGGACACCCCCGGGGGAGCCCCGAGCCCGGGGAAACGGGGGACACGGCGTGGGGGGGGCACCGGGGACGGAGAGCCCCGGGAGGGGGAGGCGGGGGGGAAGGGACACAGACCCCAGGGGGATGGGGACAGTGACCCCAGGGGGGGAAGGGACACAGACTCCAGGGGGAAAAGGGACAGTGACCCCAGGGGAGGATGGCACACAGACCCCAGGGGGAATGGGGACACAGACCCCGAGGGGGGAAGGGGACAGTGACCACGGAAGGGAAGGGACAATGACCCTAGGGGGGATGTGACACAGACTCCGGGGGGGATGGGGACAGTGACCCCGGCGGGGGTGGGACACAGACCCTGACGGAAGGGGACACCTGCGGCCTCACCTGAGTGCCCGGGGCCGTCAGGTTGAGCGTGGTGGGGCGGTGCTTCTGCGTCTCCTCCAGGGCGGGCGAGGGGATGGGCGAGGCCGAAGGGGACGGCGGCGCCTCCAGCTCGTTGCCTTCCTCCTCCTCCTCTTCCTCGTCGTCGTCGTCGTCGTTGTCGTCGATCATCTCGAACTCCTGGAAGTCGTCCTGGAAGGTGCACACGGGGTGCGGCTGCTCCCCGCGCTCCAGCACCAGGCAGTCCTGCGGGTGGCAGCGTGTCAGGGACGCGGGGACAGCCGCGGGCCACCCTCCTGCCACCGAGGGGGGACAGCGTCCCCAGTCCCCTCTCTGGGGTGTCCTGAAGGGGACAAGGGACCCCCGGCTCGGCCCGTTTGCCTCAGCACCCGCAGAGCCACCAAAGCCGCCGCTGCGGGTGAGATGCGGCAGCGCGGTGTCCCCGCGGTGTCCCCGAGGGCCACCAGGCTCCTGCACCTTCTCGTAGTGGTCCGAGTCGTAGTTGAGGCCGATGCCGCAGTCGTCCGTGATCTCCGACAGGTCCTCGTCATCGAACTCCTCCAGGCTGATGTCCTGGGGGGGCCTGGGGACAGAGGGGACACCACTCAGTGACAGCCAGGCCAGGCCCTCACAGCAGGGTGACAGCAAAGTGGCACCACGGGAACATCTGTCTGTGTATGGGTGGCACTCTCGGCGTGGGAGTACCAGGGACAGACCCCGGGGGGCAAGGGGACAGTGACCCAGGGAGGGGAAGGGACACAGATCCAGGGGGGAAAGGGACAGTGACCACGGAAGGGAAGGGACAGTGACCTCAGTGGAGGCAGGGACTGTAACCCCGGGGGGCAAGGGGACAGTGACCCAGGGAGGGGAAGGGACAGTGACCCCAGCGGGGATGGGGACAGTGACCCCAGGGGAGGATGGCACACAGACCCCAGGGGGAATGGGGACACAGACCCCGAGGGGGGAAGGGGACAGTGACCACGGAAGGGAAGGGACAATGACCCTAGGGGGGATGTGACACAGACTCCGGGGGGGATGGGGACAGTGACCCCGGCGGGGGTGGGACACAGACCCTGACGGAAGGGGACACCTGCGGCCTCACCTGAGTGCCCGGGGCCGTCAGGTTGAGCGTGGTGGGGCGGTGCTTCTGCGTCTCCTCCAGGGCGGGCGAGGGGATGGGCGAGGCCGAAGGGGACGGCGGCGCCTCCAGCTCGTTGCCTTCCTCCTCCTCCTCTTCCTCGTCGTCGTCGTCGTCGTTGTCGTCGATCATCTCGAACTCCTGGAAGTCGTCCTGGAAGGTGCACACGGGGTGCGGCTGCTCCCCGCGCTCCAGCACCAGGCAGTCCTGCGGGTGGCAGCGTGTCAGGGACGCGGGGACAGCCGCGGGCCACCCTCCTGCCACCGAGGGGGGACAGCGTCCCCAGTCCCCTCTCTGGGGTGTCCTGAAGGGGACAAGGGACCCCCGGCTCGGCCCGTTTGCCTCAGCACCCGCAGAGCCACCAAAGCCGCCGCTGCGGGTGAGATGCGGCAGCGCGGTGTCCCCGCGGTGTCCCCGAGGGCCACCAGGCTCCTGCACCTTCTCGTAGTGGTCCGAGTCGTAGTTGAGGCCGATGCCGCAGTCGTCCGTGATCTCCGACAGGTCCTCGTCATCGAACTCCTCCAGGCTGATGTCCTGGGGGGGCCTGGGGACAGAGGGGACACCACTCAGTGACAGCCAGGCCAGGCCCTCACAGCAGGGTGACAGCAAAGTGGCACCACGGGAACATCTGTCTGTGTATGGGTGGCACTCTCGGCGTGGGAGCACCAGGGACATGGCACCAAACCCTGTCACCTCTGGTGCCACACGGACATGGCACCAGGACACTGTCACCCCTGTGTGCCACACGGACATGGCACCAGGACACTGTCACCCCTGTGTGTCACACGGACATGGCACCAAACCCTGTCACCTCTGGAGCCACATGGGCATGGCACCATAACTCTGTCACAGGACAGCCACAGAGACATGTCACCATAACACAGGGACATGGCACCAAACCCTGTCACCTCTGGTGTCACAGGGACATGGCACCATAACTCTGCCAGAGGACAGCCACAGGGACATGTCACCATAACACAGGGACACATCGCCACAACTGTGTCACTCTGGGTGCCACACAGACATGTCACCAAAACCCTCTCACTCCTGGTGCCACATGGACCTGTCACCAAAACCCTGCCACCCCTTGGTGCCAGCATGGGACAACCACAGGGACATGTCACCATAACACAGGGATGTGGCATCAAATCCTGTCACCCCCGGGTGCCACACAGACGTGGCACCAAACCCTGTCACTCCTTAGTGTCAGCACAGGGACATGTCACCATAACACAAGGACATGTCACCACAACCCTGTCACCCCTGGGTGCTGGCACAGGACAGCCACGGGCACGCATCACCACACTGCTGTCACCAGGCGGTGGCACCGCGGAGGTGCCGAGGCCACCACATGTCCCAAATTCCCAGAATCCCGGAGCCGAGGTGGGGAGGGGACGGTCACCAGGTTTGGGGTGACCTGTGCTGCTGGGGGGTCACAGCGGCGTGGCTGGGGTGACAAAGGGGACCGGGCTGTGACACCCCGAGGGGCCCTGAGCGCATTCCCAGGGAACGGGGCTGCCATGGAAACCAGCGGCTCCTGCGGGAGCAACGGAACCGAGAGAAATCCCAAAATCCCGAAATCCCGCAGCGTTTGGGAGTGGAAAACAGAAACTGGGGGTTTGGGGGGCTCGGTGAGGGGGAAGATACAGCCTGGGTGCCACTGGGACCTTCTGGTCACCCCCCATGGCGTTGGGGACACCCAGGGTCCCCCAGCAGCACCTGGGTGCCACTGTGACCCTCTGGTGGCCCTCCATGGGGTTGGGGACACAGGAGCAGCCCCAGGGGTGTGTGGCAGCAGCCAGGTGCCACTGGGACCCTGTGCCCACCCTCCGTGGGGTTGGGGACACCCAGGGTCCCCCAGCAGCCCCTGGGCACCAGTGGGACCCTGTGCCCACCCTCCGTGGGGTTGGGGACACACAGGGTCCCCCAGCAGCACCTGGGCACCAACAGAAACTGGGGGTTTGGGGGGCTCGGTGAGGGGGAAGATACAGCCTGGGTGCCACTGGGACCCTCTGGTCACCCCCCATGGCGTTGGGGACACCCAGGGTCCCCCAGCAGCACCTGGGCACCAGTGGGACCCTGTGCCCACCCTCGGTGGGGTTGGGGACAGCCGGGTGGGCTCGGGCAGGGGCGGGGGCTCAGCCCGCAGGGTGGCAGCAGGGTCAGACCCCAAAGGGGGCCCAGGGCTGTCCCCTGTCCCCCCCGCGGTGCAGCCGCTCCCGATCCCGCTCCCCCGGCAGGAAGATTCCCCTAATCCCATAATTCCCAGAAGTAGGGCACGGCTGCGCCGAATCCGCGCAGATTTGGGGCAAAAGCGGCGGGAAGGGAGACGGGGCCGGGGCTGCGGCGGGAACGGGGCTGAGCGCGACCCCAAAGGCCGCAGGGGACGGGGAGCCCTGGGGCTGTGGGGCGAAGGGTCCCGGCTCTTGGGGAGCTCAGCCTTTTGGGGTGCAGAGTCCTGGGATGTAAAGTCCTTCGGGGTGCAGAGCCCTGGCATGTAGGGGAACAGAAATTTTGGGGTGCAGAAGTCTTTGGGGTGCAGAGCTATGGGATGTCGAGGTGCAGAACCCTTTGGGGTTCAGAACCCTTTGGGGTTTCAGGGTGCCGAACTCTGAGGTGTTGGGGTGCAGAGCCCGGGGGTGTTGGGGAGCAGGAAGTTTTTGGTGTGCAGAACCTTTTGGGATACTGGGGTGCACAGATTTTTGGGGTGCAGATCCTGTTGGGTTATAGGGATCTGAACCTGGGATACTGAGGAACAGAGCCCCTGGGTTTTGGGGTGCAGAATCCCAGGATGTCAGGGAGCAGAACCCTGAGGTGTTGGGGTGCACAGCCCAGGGTGTTGGGGTGCAGAGCCCTTTGGGGTGCACAGACCAGATTTGCTGGGGAGCAGAGCCCCAGAATGCTGAGGAGCAGTCTCGGGGTGTCGGGGAGCAGAGCCTTTTGGGGTGCAGAGCCCAGGGGTGTTGGGGACCAGAGTCCTGGGATGCTGGGGTGCAGATCCCAGAATATCGGGGTGCAAAGCCCAGGATATTGGGGTAGAGACCCCAGCATGTCAGGGAGCAGAGCCCTGCGGGGTGCAAAACCATCTCCCCAACCCCACAGAAAATCGGGGGCTGCCGCCCTGCAGGAAGAGCCCCGGGACCCTCTGCTGTCCCCGGGGTCTTAGGGGGTCCTGTGGGCACGCAGGGGGACAGGGACAGCGGGGCTGAGTCCTCCTGGGGACCTTGGGGTCCCCTCCTGCAGCCCTGGACCCTCCTCACTGGGGGAGCAGCTCCTGCTCCTGGCTGGGGGACACGGGAATGGGATGGGATGGGATGGGATGGGATGGGATGGAATGGGATGGGATGGGATGGGATGGGATGGGATGGGGACACTGCGGTGGGGTGGGAATGACATGGAGGGATGGGGACACTGCTTTGGGTTGGGATGGTCACATGGGGTGGGAATGACACAGTGGGATGGGGACACTGTGGTGTGATGGGGACACTGTGATGGGATGGGGGGTCACAGTGGCATGGGGACATTGTTGTGGAATGGGGGGGGTCACAGTGGGATGGGGACACTGTGGTGGGATGGGACCCTGTGCCCACCCTCCGTGGGGTTGGGGACACCCAGGGTCCCCCAGCAGCCCCTGGGCACCAGTGGGACCCTGTGCCCACCCTCCGTGGGGTTGGGGACACCCAGGGTCCCCCAGCAGCCCCTGGGCACCAGTGGGACCCTGTGCCCACCCTCAGTGGGGTTGGGGACACGCAGGACCCCGAGCGTGTCCCCAGGGGGGTGTGGCAGCAGCCAGGTGCCACTGGGACCCTGTGCCCACCCTCGGTGGGGTTGGGGACACACAGGGTCCCCCAGCAGCACCTGGGCACCAGTGGGACCCTGTGCCCACCCTCGGTGGGGTTGGGGACAGCCGGGTGGGCTCGGGCAGGGGCGGGGGCTCAGCCCGCAGGGTGGCAGCAGGGTCAGACCCCAAAGGGGGCCCAGGGCTGTCCCCTGTCCCCCCCGCGGTGCAGCCGCTCCCGATCCCGCTCCCCCGGCAGGAAGATTCCCCTAATCCCATAATTCCCAGAAGTAGGGCACGGCTGCGCCGAATCCGCGCAGATTTGGGGCAAAAGCGGCGGGAAGGGAGACGGGGCCGGGGCTGCGGCGGGAACGGGGCTGAGCGCGACCCCAAAGGCCGCAGGGGACGGGGAGCCCTGGGGCTGTGGGGCGAAGGGTCCCGGCTCTTGGGGAGCTCAGCCTTTTGGGGTGCAGAGTCCTGGGATGTAAAGTCCTTCGGGGTGCAGAGCCCTGGCATGTAGGGGAACAGAAATTTTGGGGTGCAGAAGTCTTTGGGGTGCAGAGCTATGGGATGTCGAGGTGCAGAACCCTTTGGGGTTCAGAACCCTTTGGGGTTTCAGGGTGCCGAACTCTGAGGTGTTGGGGTGCAGAGCCCGGGGGTGTTGGGGAGCAGGAAGTTTTTGGTGTGCAGAACCTTTTGGGATACTGGGGTGCACAGATTTTTGGGGTGCAGATCCTGTTGGGTTATAGGGATCTGAACCTGGGATACTGAGGAACAGAGCCCCTGGGTTTTGGGGTGCAGAATCCCAGGATGTCAGGGAGCAGAACCCTGAGGTGTTGGGGTGCACAGCCCAGGGTGTTGGGGTGCAGAGCCCTTTGGGGTGCACAGCCCAGGGTGTTGGGGTGCAGAGCCCTTTGGGGCACAGGGATCTGATTTGCTGGGGAGCAGAGCCCCAGAATGCTGAGGAGCAGTCTCGGGGTGTCGGGGAGCAGAGCCTTTTGGGGTGCAGAGCCCAGGGGTGTTGGGGACCAGAGTCCTGGGATGCTGGGGTGCAGATCCCAGAATATCGGGGTGCAAAGCCCAGGATATTGGGGTAGAGACCCCAGCATGTCAGGGAGCAGAGCCCTGCGGGGTGCAAAACCATCTCCCCAACCCCACAGAAAATCGGGGGCTGCCCCCCTGCAGGAAGAGCCCCGGGACCCTCTGCTGTCCCCGGGGTCTTAGGGGGTCCTGTGGGCACGCAGGGGGACAGGGACAGCGGGGCTGAGTCCTCCTGGGGACCTTGGGGTCCCCTCCTGCAGCCCTGGACCCTCCTCACTGGGGGAGCAGCTCCTGCTCCTGGCTGGGGGACACGGGAATGGGATGGGATGGGATGGGATGGGATGGGATGGAATGGGATGGGATGGGATGGGATGGGGTGGGGTTGGGGACACCCAGGGTCCCCCAGCAGCCCCTGGGCACCAGTGGGACCCTGTGCCCACCCTCAGTGGGGTTGGGGACACGCAGGACCCCGAGCGTGTCCCCAGGGGGGTGTGGCAGCAGCCAGGTGCCACTGGGACCCTGTGCCCACCCTCGGTGGGGTTGGGGACACACAGGGTCCCCCAGCAGCACCTGGGCACCAGTGGGACCCTGTGCCCACCCTCGGTGGGGTTGGGGACAGCCGGGTGGGCTCGGGCAGGGGCGGGGGCTCAGCCCGCAGGGTGGCAGCAGGGTCAGACCCCAAAGGGGGCCCAGGGCTGTCCCCTGTCCCCCCCGCGGTGCAGCCGCTCCCGATCCCGCTCCCCCGGCAGGAAGATTCCCCTAATCCCATAATTCCCAGAAGTAGGGCACGGCTGCGCCGAATCCGCGCAGATTTGGGGCAAAAGCGGCGGGAAGGGAGACGGGGCCGGGGCTGCGGCGGGAACGGGGCTGAGCGCGACCCCAAAGGCCGCAGGGGACGGGGAGCCCTGGGGCTGTGGGGCGAAGGGTCCCGGCTCTTGGGGAGCTCAGCCTTTTGGGGTGCAGAGTCCTGGGATGTAAAGTCCTTCGGGGTGCAGAGCCCTGGCATGTAGGGGAACAGAAATTTTGGGGTGCAGAAGTCTTTGGGGTGCAGAGCTATGGGATGTCGAGGTGCAGAACCCTTTGGGGTTCAGAACCCTTTGGGGTTTCAGGGTGCCGAACTCTGAGGTGTTGGGGTGCAGAGCCCGGGGGTGTTGGGGAGCAGGAAGTTTTTGGTGTGCAGAACCTTTTGGGATACTGGGGTGCACAGATTTTTGGGGTGCAGATCCTGTTGGGTTATAGGGATCTGAACCTGGGATACTGAGGAACAGAGCCCCTGGGTTTTGGGGTGCAGAATCCCAGGATGTCAGGGAGCAGAACCCTGAGGTGTTGGGGTGCACAGCCCAGGGTGTTGGGGTGCAGAGCCCTTTGGGGTGCACAGCCCAGGGTGTTGGGGTGCAGAGCCCTTTGGGGCACAGGGATCTGATTTGCTGGGGAGCAGAGCCCCAGAATGCTGAGGAGCAGTCTCGGGGTGTCGGGGAGCAGAGCCTTTTGGGGTGCAGAGCCCAGGGGTGTTGGGGACCAGAGTCCTGGGATGCTGGGGTGCAGATCCCAGAATATCGGGGTGCAAAGCCCAGGATATTGGGGTAGAGACCCCAGCATGTCAGGGAGCAGAGCCCTGCGGGGTGCAAAACCATCTCCCCAACCCCACAGAAAATCGGGGGCTGCCCCCCTGCAGGAAGAGCCCCGGGACCCTCTGCTGTCCCCGGGGTCTTAGGGGGTCCTGTGGGCACGCAGGGGGACAGGGACAGCGGGGCTGAGTCCTCCTGGGGACCTTGGGGTCCCCTCCTGCAGCCCTGGACCCTCCTCACTGGGGGAGCAGCTCCTGCTCCTGGCTGGGGGACACGGGAATGGGATGGGATGGGATGGGATGGGATGGGATGGGATGGGATGGGATGGGATGGGATGGGATGGGATGGGGACACTGCGGTGGGGTGGGAATGACATGGAGGGATGGGGACACTGCTTTGGGTTGGGATGGTCACATGGGGTGGGAATGACACAGTGGGATGGGGACACTGTGGTGTGATGGGGACACTGTGATGGGATGGGGGGTCACAGTGGCATGGGGACATTGTTGTGGAATGGGGGGGGTCACAGTGGGATGGGGACATGTGGTGGGGTGAGGGGGTCACAGTGGCATGGGGACACTGGTGGGGTGGGACCAGCAGTGAGAGCCCACCCAGCCCCACGATGTCCCCGATGGGACCCTTGGGGACCGGGCTGGGACCAAAGGCAGCGCCCCGGCCACGGGTGCAGGGACCGAGCAGAGATGAGCAGCGGGAACAAGGACAGTGCCTGTCCCCACCTTGGGGACACTCTCGGGGCCGGCTGGCACCGAGGGACGGGAGCGGAGCCGAGGGCGGGGACAAGGCCAGGGGGTCTCACCCAGCCCCGCACAGGCAGAGGGGATTGGGAAGGGCTGGAACCGGCCAGGATGGGCCGGAGGGGACCCCAAAGGGGCCCAGCGTCACCTGGCGGGGGGCACGGGGCCGGGAGGGCTGGGCAGGGGGCACGGGCGGTGCCAGCGCTGCCAGGGCCGGGCTCCCCGGGGAGCGCTGCCGGCGGCGCAGGCCCCGGGCGGGTGGAATTTCCTCATCCCCGCCACCCGCTCCCTGCGCACTGCCGGGGGGCGGCTCCGAGCGCCGGGAGGGGACCCCCACAGCGGCCCGGAGGGGACCCCCGCCCGCTCCTGGAGCCGGCTCTGACCCCGTGGTCAGCCCAAATTGGGGACCCGGGGCTCCTGACTGGCACCTGGGGCTGCCACGGTCCGAGCAGGAGGTGGGAGCCATCCCAAGGCCCGGCTGCGTGCGCGCCTGGAATTCCCTCATCGAGCATTCCCACATCGAAGGAGCATTCCCACATCGGGCATCCATTCCCACATCGAAGGAGCATTCCCACATCGGGCATTCATTCCCACATCGAGCATCCATTCCCACATCGGGCATTCCCAGCCCATTCCGGCCTCTCCTCTCCGGCCAGGGGGTCCCACCCCTCCGGCCGCCCCAAGCCGGGCTGGGCTCGCCGCGGCTCCTTGGGAAAGGCTCAGCCGGGTTCGGGTTCCCCGTCACCATTCCCGGCTGGATCTCGCCATGCTCGGGGGGACTCGAGCGCAGCCACAGCAGCCCCAGGGAGCGGCCACAGTGGGATGGGGACACTGTGGTGGGACAGGGGGTCACAGTGGGATGGGGACACTGTGGTGGGGTGAGGGGGTCACAGTGGGATGGGGACACTGTGGTGGGGTGAGGGGGTCACAGTGGCATGGGGACACTGGTGGGGTGGGACCAGCAGTGAGAGCCCACCCAGCCCCACGATGTCCCCGATGGGACCCTTGGGGACCGGGCTGGGACCAAAGGCAGCGCCCCGGCCACGGGTGCAGGGACCGAGCAGAGATGAGCAGCGGGAACAAGGACAGTGCCTGTCCCCACCTTGGGGACACTCCCGGGGCCGGCTGGCACCGAGGGACAGGAGCGGAGCCGAGGGCGGGGACAAGGCCAGGGGGTCTCACCCAGCCCCGCACAGGCAGAGGGGATTGGGAAGGGCTGGAACCGGCCAGGATGGGCCGGAGGGGACCCCAAAGGGGCCCAGCGTCACCTGGCGGGGGGCACGGGGCCGGGAGGGCTGGGCAGGGGGCACGGGCGGTGCCAGCGCTGCCAGGGCCGGGCTCCCCGGGGAGCGCTGCCGGCGGCGCAGGCCCCGGGCGGGTGGAATTTCCTCATCCCCGCCACCCGCTCCCTGCGCACTGCCGGGGGGCGGCTCCGAGCGCCGGGAGGGGACCCCCACAGCGGCCCGGAGGGGACCCCCGCCCGCTCCTGGAGCCGGCTCTGACCCCGTGGTCAGCCCAAATTGGGGACCCGGGGCTCCTGACTGGCACCTGGGGCTGCCACGGTCCGAGCAGGAGGTGGGAGCCATCCCAAGGCCCGGCTGCGTGCGCGCCTGGAATTCCCTCATCGAGCATTCCCATATCGAGCATTCCCACATCGAAGGAGCATTCCCACATCGGGCATCCATTCCCACATCGAAGGAGCATTCCCACATCGGGCATTCATTCCCACATCGAGCATCCATTCCCACATCGGGCATTCCCAGCCCATTCCGGCCTCTCCTCTCCGGCCAGGGGGTCCCACCCCTCCGGCCGCCCCAAGCCGGGCTGGGCTCGCCGCGGCTCCTTGGGAAAGGCTCAGCCGGGTTCGGGTTCCCCGTCACCATTCCCGGCTGGATCTCGCCATGCTCGGGGGGACTCGAGCGCAGCCACAGCAGCCCCAGGGAGCGGCCCCGGGTTTTGGGATGGCTCCGGGCACAGCTCCCGCTGCCCAGACTGGGCCCGGCTGCCCCAGGGCCCGGCCCGGGGCCGAGCAGCCCCAGCGAGGCCGTGGCGTCCCCTCCCTGCGCCACCGCGGGCAGGGACAGCCCGGGGCCCTGCTGCGCTGCGGCCCGGGAAGGGGACAGCCCGGCGACAGGGACATCCTGGGCACAGGGATGCTCAGAGAAGGGGACATCCTTGGGACGGGGATGCTCAGAGAAGGGGACATCCTGGGGACGGGGATGCTGAGGGAGGGGACAATCCAAGCCAGCGGATGCTCAGGGACGGGAACAACCTGGGGACGGGGACAACCTGGGGACGGGGATGCTCAGAGAAGGGGAGCCCTGCCCAGCACAGGCCACAGCCACCCAAGGGCACGTCCCGCAGCCCCGCTGTCCCCTGCTCCTCTCTCCGCAGCTCCCGCATCCCCGGGGCCCTCCCGGTGCCCCTCACCGCCGCCTCCTGCCCTTCCCATTCCCCTGCCGGGCGGCTCGGCCCCGCAGTGCGCCAGCCCGGCCCGGGGCCCGCACCCCGACCCCGGCCCGCACCCCGACCCCCATCCCCGGCCCGCACCCCGACCCCGCACCCCCGCACCCCGCCAAGGTCAGGCGCGGGGCGGGCCCCGCCGCGCCCCCTCCCCGCGGGACCCCCGGCGGCCCTGCGGGAAGGTGACGGATCCCGGAGCCCCGGTGCGGCGTCCCGGCTGCGGGAAGCCCCCGGAATCCCCCCGGCATCCCCCCGGCCGCGCCGAGCCTCGCGGGGTGATGAGCCCCCCCCGCTCCCCGGACCGGCCCCCCCATTCCCGTCCCCGTCCCCATCCCGGGGCCGCTGCGGCGCCTCGGGACAGACAAAGAGGCGGCGGCGGCTCCTCCCGCAGCGGCCCCGGGATGCGGCGGCCCCGGAGGCCGGGGGGGCTCCGAGCCCCGGCGAGGGGAAGGGGACGGAGGGGACCCTCGAGCCCCCCGCCCGCGGCGCTCGGGGGCTGGATGGCCGGCGGCGGCTGCGCCGTTCACGCCGGGAAGGGCCGCGGCGGGGCGGGGGGCGGGAGGAGCCCCCCGGTCCCGCATCCCAAGGTGAACGAACGGGCGGGGGGAGCGGCGGGG